GAATGGAAAAATCCAGCGTTCCTTTTCTTAAGAGCCTTGCAATGGTGCATCGTTGGTGGTATTGTAGCCTCACTGGTATTGCTTAACGGATACCGCCAATATATACAATGAAATTGTAAATATGCAATGAACCGCAACCATACAGTGCACTGAATAACAAGAGATGAGTAACTCTGTACAACAGGGGGTTTTGTCCTGCTTCCTCTGTGCTGGGAATTGGTAAAGTCAAGGCCAAAAGCGTCCAAGGTAGTTTGACCAGGGAAAGAATTTTTGTTTAGAGCTTGCAGAAAGAAGTGGCCTCATGGCAAGATCAGTGGGACTGGAAATGGACCTTCTGCAGTAAAAATACAGGGAGATTCCTGTATAATGGGAGTTCAGAGATGAGGTGTGGCAAAGCCTTGAACGTGTGATTTTGATGCCTTTAGATGTGACCGTCTGGCAGCTCATAGCTTCACTGATGGTGTTTAGAACAAGGTTGTCTTGCCCTGTAGTGCAGTCCTGGTCTGAAGAGAAGGTCTGAGAATAAAAAAGCTCTACAGGATAAATAGGGACCAGAGTTTATTTCAGTTATGCTGCTTCCTATGTGGAAACCAGGAGATGTTCCCAATGGGTGGTCACTGTGTGTAGGCGATAGCATGCCCCTCTCTGCAGGAGCTCTCTGCAGCTGGTCTCGGACCTTCACTGCCTCGGGAAGCCATTAAATTAAATAGATACTTAATCTGAGCAGGGTTGGTGAGGGGTGGCTTGAACGGCTTGATGGAGCATTAACACAGTTTGCTACTTGTTAAGAGAAGGGTAACTGTGCTTCAGGCCATCCGATGATTGCCATTCTGCTAGGATCCTTAGCTGGACAAAGGTAATCAGATGGCCTGAAGGAGTCCTTTTTCAGTCTTATGGCTTTTATACCTCCCTGGTGTCATGTTCTGATGACTTGATTATTGCTTGCTACCTTAAATAGGTTCCCAGTTAAATCCTCATTCTTTTCGTGTTGTAATAGGATTATCATACAAGATGACGACAATGTTTGTACCTAAGCCAAACTACACAGCACTTTACACGCAGAATAAGTGAAACCATCTAGAAATTGAATTTTCTAAAGATTAGCACAAAGCTCTTCAAACAGGCCCAACCCACACGGAAAATGCAAGTTGCTGTTGAATCAATAATGAAGCAACAAGTTTCAAGGCTGTGCCAGGAAAACAGGGAAATGTCTTGCCTCTCTGATAGCCCTTTGCATCCTTACCTGCGGAGGAAGTTTTTTCTGCCATCAGTTACTGATTCACTCAGTCCAGGGAAGGGCTGCTTTCCAATTTGGTTTGAATGCCAGTCCTCTAATCAGCTGGAGAAAAGGAGTCCCTTATATAAGCCAAGGGAAAGGAAATGCTTCTGCGATACGGCCCACATGAATAGCTAGGACTGAGTGCTGGTTAACTCCTGAAGTCCAGCTTCTGCATCTTCTCACCCTGTTTCTTTAGGGCTGTGTTGACTGGGACAAGTGGTGATTTGCAAGGCTTTCCTCTTCTTACTGGTCTCTCTTTTTCAAGGCAGTTGGTGAAGGCAAATGGAAGGCATGACCTCAGACAAAGAGCTCAACGGGCTAGATAACCCCAGCTTCGTGGTGAGTCTGCTCATCTCTGAAGGGTAATTCTTGCATAGATGGGTGCGAGCCCTGCGAGAAGAGGGCAAAGGGAAAGCCAGGGGGCTCGGACTGGCTGCAAGGATGCTGTGGTGTGGTAAATAGGAATCTGAGGAACAATTGCCTCACTACAGCCTGCTGCTGCCGCAGGCTCAAAGTGCCTTCTACTCTCTGGCACCCTTTTTACTTCTTTTCTCCCCATTATTTCTAAAATGATAGTGTGGATAAATGGCAGCGCAAGTGTATCTGTACTGAAAAGCAAACAAGCTTGTGGCTCCTTGTGGCTGCGTCCCTGGGTAGAGCATTTAATGTATTAATTAGTAAAATTATAATAGAAATGTAGCCCAGTGAAAAGCGTGTTTCTTTGTCTTCTGGATCTATTTCTGGTGGGGTAAACTGGCAGAGAGGTGGGGGGAAAAGGGATTTGAGAGTCAGCAGGGCAGAGCACCCTGCAGGGTTACAGCAGGGTGGTGAAAGGTGTAAAAGCTGTGTCAGTTCAGGGGTGTGCAGAGCACTGGAAATGCTGCGGGCTGCTACAGCCACAGGACAAGGGCCTGGGGCACAGCAGCCCCTTTCCCGTCTCACAGCAGGTGTCACCTCCATTACAAACTAGAAGAGCTGCTTATTTTCTGACAGCAGGTGTGAGAGTGGGGTCCTGACAGCGTCTTTGTACCACGGTACAGACCGCCCACCTGGGGACCTCGGAGGAGGCATTTAACCTCCTGGTGCCTGGTTCTCCCATTTCTCAGATAACTCTTGGTGAGCTGGCTGTGAGCAGTGGGGGTGCTGTGCCAGCTGCAGGCAGAGCCTCAGGGAGGTGCTCAGAGCGATAAAAAAAATCCCTACTGTTAATGGTCTCAATTTCTACCTGTTCTGCCACAGTGCAGATCAGGCTTGTGACTTCCTCTGGTTTGAATCACCCCAAATAAGGCAGAAGACAGAGGTCTTTTACTTGTGGTTCAAGCAGCTCAGTTTCTGACCATCCTGATGCACTTCTTCAAGATGCTTTGAGGGCCTTGATGCTTTTGTCTGGATAACTGAGGCAACGGAGGGTGTGCTACATGTGTACATGATCACACATGTGTACATGTCCCCTGGCTTCATGGGAGCAGCTGGGCTGAGAACCAGCAGCAGTGGTCCCCTGTTCCGTCTCCAGACTGCTCCTGCCTTGTTCTCCTGCCAGCATCTCAGCATCACAGACTGGTTGAGGTTGGAAGGAACCTCTGGAGGTCAATTTGTCCAACCCCCGTGCTCAAGCAGGGTCACCTAGCGCCAGTTGCCCAGGACTGTGCCTAGACAGTTTTTTAATATATCTAAGAATGGAGACTCCACAACCTCCTTGGGCAACCCATGCGGTACTTGGTCACCCTCACAGTGAAAAAGTGTTTCCTGATGTTAAGACAGGACCTCCTGTGTTTCAGTTTGAGCCCATTGCCTCTGGTCCTTTCTCATCCTGTTATCTTCACTTCATCCTTATCCCACTGAACCCTGCTCGCTCCTCTCCAGCTCCTGGGTAGGGTCAGGCATTCATGTGATGGTCATGTGGGGCTGTTACTGGCACAGGCTCTGCCCAGCTGGAATATGCCTCCTGGTTAACATGGGGAAAAATTGCAATGCAAGGAAAGGAGCTTACTGCTGTTCTCCTAGCTTAGGATTCATCTACCCGTGGTGTTATTCAGGAGTAGCTGTCCCCAAATAACTCTCTGCATGGGCAATCTTAAGTGCTTTGCCGTACATTTGTTAATCCACGGCTCAGGCTCTCTTGTTCTGAAATGAAAATGTCTCCACAGGGAGTTATTCAGGAATG